ATGGTCTTTACTCTTATCGCAATATGACTTGTACTTCAAGCAACAAAAATCAGTTAAAGGACGAGCTATTTGCGATCTTCTGGCGAAAAACCCTACGAAGGAGGTAGTCGAATTGTACGACGATCTGCCAGATGAAACTCATGAAGTTAATACCACCTCACATCAACAAGTGTGATAATTGTACTTTGATGGGGCTTCCTGATCAACCAACGTGGCAAGTGCACCCGGATGTTCTAAAATCTCCTCAGGAGTGGGGGTCGTTTTAGTTTCCCTGGAAAAGCATGTCTTGCCTAGAGCATATTCGCTGACCGAGCCATGCTCTAATAACGTGGCCGAGTACAATGCATTGATAATCGGACTTAACTTCGCCAAAGAGCTGGGGGTCGAATACCTTGAAGCTTTTGGGGATTCTCAACTGGTAGTTAATCAAATACGAGGAGAGTATGAAGTCAGAAATCAAGACCTGATTCCATACCACCAGGTGGCCATCGAGATGGCAAGCTCATTTGAAGAATATTTCATCGAGTACGTTCTACGTCTCCAAAACGCGTATGCAGACACATTGGTGGCGTTGTCGGTATCCTTGGCTCAACCTCCCGAAACAGAACAATTGATTACAGTGAGGACTCGCCAGCTTATTGTTCCAATCTACGATTCAAATGCTAAAGAAGCATACTCAACAGGAGTTGAACATAAAGTTCGAGATTGGCGTTTTTCCATTATCGACTCCGTCCTACATGGTATATTGCCTGAAGATGTAAGAGAAAGGGAATTGATCCGGCGAAGAGCACCGAGATTTTACTATAACGCCACAGCGCAAACGCTGTATCGACGATCGTACGATGGTCTTTTACTCCGTTGTCTATCCGGCAAAGAAGCGGAACAAGCACTCAAAGAGGCGCGTGATGGGATTTGCGGTGCACATCAACCTGGTCCTAAACTTTGTGATCGACTTAGGAGAATCGGGTATTACTAGCCAACCATGGTAAAAGACGCAGTCGACTACGCACGACGATGTGAAGTGTGTCAGTTACATGCAAATTATATGCACCAGCCGCCTGAGTATTTACATCCATTGACGACATCATGGCCATTCGAAACTTGGGGAATGGATATAGTAGGTCCTATCTTTCCGCCTTCGGTTAAAGGGGACCGTTTCATTTTGGCAATCACAAATTATTTCTCGAAATGGGCAGAAGCAGTTCTACTTAGAGAAGTAAAGACGAGTGATGTGGTCAAATTTATCAAACACCATATCATATATCGATATGGTGTGCCAAGGCGAATAGTGCACGATAACGGTCCTCAATTGGTGAGCAACGCATTTATCAAATTCTGCTGTAAATTCGGGATTAAGGACGTTTCATCGACTGCTTATAATCCTACAGCTAACGGATTGGCCGAAGCTTTTAATAAGACTATCATCAAAATTCTGGCGAAATTGGTGAAAACCAATAAACAAGATTGGGACAATAAACTCGGCGAAGCCCTGTGGGCTTATCGTACAACTGTTCGTACGCCAACCGGAACCACCCCGTATGCCTTAACATATAGATGTGAAGCCGTCCTTCCATTGTAAATACAGATTCTTTCCCTCCGTATCGCTCTTACAACGGGAATGACGACGGAAGAACACCATCAAAGACGTCTCGAGGAATTAGAGATGTTAGATGAGAAACGCTTGGAAGCTCAATAACAAATCGAGTTTTATCAAGCTAGAATTTCTCGAACTTTCGATAAAAAGGTCCGACGACGAAGCTTTAAAGAAGGAGATCTAGTTCTCGCTGTTCGAAGGCCTATGATTCTCACTTCTAAGAAGAAAGGCAAATTTGAACCTAAATGGGAAGGACCGTTCGTGATAGAAACAGTCTATTCAAACGGTGCTTACCGCCTGATTACCCAAGATGGCAACAAATTAATGATGCCAATAAATGAGAAGTTCCTGAAAAAATATTATCCGTAATATGTTCAGGATAACCTATGCAGAACGGGAAGTTCCTAGAGAATCCTGTATAGGATATTTCGGGATAACCCGAGATCAGTTGATTGGTCTAAATATGAAACTGATCTTTTAAATAATATGTTTTTGATTATCATAAATTTCTTTTATAGCTTTTGTTGAGATAAGATTCAATTCTGTAAACAATTAATCTTTCCTCACAAAACTCCTCACCGGTCAAGTCGATCGACGAAGAGTACACCAAAATCAGTCATGGATTAGAATCATCCCAACCCCCAATGTTCATTTGGTCAAACCTTTAAATAGTTAGGACCAAAGCTAAAATCCCCCATCGATTCCTTCAATGAATGAGAGGCCCACAAATCGAGCGATCAAACCTTCCTACAGTTAGGATCGTCTCAAAATTCCCACTTGGTCAAACCTTACTACAGTTAGGACCACAACCAAAATCTCCTTTCGATTCATTTTACGAACGAAAGGTCCACTTTTGAATTGAGTAATCAAACCTTATGACAGTTAGGGTTATTCAAACCAACCCATTTTCTCTAAGTGGAGATTCCACTGTGAGTTTCCTTTTCATCAGGAGATAGAATATAAAATTCTCCCTCTCCGATTCTGGGTTTATCTCTACCAACAAACAAGAGACCAGGAGATAGAATATAAAATTCTTCCTCTCCGATTCTGGGTTCATCTCTACCAACAAACAAGAGACCAGGAGATAGAATATAAAATTCTTCCTCTCCGATTCTGGGTTCGTTGTCCTATATAGGAAACGCAACCTATTCACACTTTGAAATCCATGTCGTTCACACATGGGGGATGTTATCTCTATCCCTTATTAGAGATAAGCATACATCTAACACATGTAGCCTACATATTCAATATTGTAGTTTAAAGTCTAAAAGAGTTTAATTCTTTTAGCAAAACGTTATATGTGAAACGGACCTAGATAATTCACATACTAGCCCGACTCAAACGGTAGTCGGTAAAGGCATATCAAATCCGTTGATGGCTGAGGATTTGCCAAAAATCCTATAAGTATTATGGTTATTTATTCTAAACAAGAATGGATAATCATAATAAAATCTTAATAAGCAAAAAGATTCAATATATTGACCAAGAGTGTTCAAACAAAGCTAAAAGAAATATATGTTCTCCAATTACAAAAGTTTATATTGACTAATCTGATTTTCAAGTTTTGAAAGCTCTAACGCATAAGCCTGTTCAAGCTCAGCCGCCAATTTAATCTTGAAAGCTTCTTCGTCAACACTTTGAAGTTCGGCGATCTCTTGTTCCTTTTCAGCAAGTATTTGATCTTGAAGATTCAGCTGCTGTAACAGGTTTTCTTCAACCTGAGTTTCCTGCGTCAACTCGGACTCCAAAGCCTCATGAGCATCCTTAGCCTTTACAAGTTGCTCCTCTAAGCGAGCTATTTCCGCTCGACTCGATTCTAAGTCCCGGCGTAGGTTGACCTTGGCTTGTATTCTTCTGCCAACACTCACCCTAAGTTGATCACTTCGGTCTCTTAGCTTTTGAAGTTCGAGATTAGCTAATTTTTGGGAATCACGCCACGCCTGCAACTTGGATTCCATGTAGGAAGCGATATAAGAGGGTATGCCCTTGGTGCGAAGAGCCTGCAGAAGTTCAACATGTCGCCTCAAGTCAACCAAATAAGCATTGATTGAATCGGCTAACTCATTATACCATTCTTCTCTGAACCCTGATATAAAACGCTCAAGAGATTTGTTATAACTCTCAAAGTACGATCCTTTGAAGAGAATACGATCGACCATAGAGTTCAAAAAGGGAATGAAGCCTTGGAGATTAGAACAGATGACAGCCTTGTCCGGATCGTCGTCGACCAATAACGCTTGGATATGATTTGATAATGATGAAGGAACTGTGACGAGGGAAAATAAGTCAGTACATAACATATATATCCATATAAGACAATGAGCTGAAGCATACCAAGTTCGACAGAAGAGCCTTCAGTATGACTTGGTCCACCCAAGGATGGTAGTCCGGATTCCTAAACAACCAATGTTGGTTCAAGGACGGTAGCCGTTGATGCAACCGCTACATCAGATGATTTTTCAACTAAAGCCTCAGGGTCCAAACTAAGAGGCTCCTTAGGAGGAGATTCTACAAACAAAAGATCTACAATGAGCATAGTGGAATGTTGAATTGAAACTTGAAACAACTGATGGGTAAAACTCACCAATTCTAGACACAACATCGGCCGACGTACCAACTTATTCAGTTGGTCTCGCTTTTGTTGTAATCAGACTAATTTGGGGAGTGACAGTGACTTCTATCATCATAGGGTCCATAGGAGTAGTAGGTTGATATTCGAAAGCTGATGATTGCAAATCGAACTCAGTTCCCGCCCATGGCACAAGGTCACGACCCTCCAATTGATCAGACGCTCCGATGATTATAGCAGTATCAGTTCCAGCAACTGGTCCTATAATTCAAATACTTATATGATCAAGCAAGTTAAAATATATATATATGGAGTTTAAAGAACAGAGGCCTTACTCTCAGAAGGACCTGCTTCTGTTGAACCAATTCCAACGTCTGAGCCTGCAGCTGCACCAGAAGCTTTCCCTGACAAAGAATCAAGGATTTGCTGATGGTCGTCCTCCGAGATATCAAGATTAAAGTCGAAGTCATTAAAATCATCGACTTTGGTGGCATGGGTAGCTTCTACTTCAGTTGATTCATGCATCGTGGCATCTACGGAACGTATTAAACCATAAATAACATGTAAATTTAGACGAATTTGCTCAAGACAAAGATTAATTTTACCTTCGTTGGGCGGGGCGAATTCAAGAGCTCCACTACTTGTACCCGCTTCTTTTAGCTTGACTAAAAAGAGACAAAGCGCACAGGTCATTAGAGGAGGCACACGGTCCGACTCATTCATTTCTCGGATTTCTCTTCCGAGAGGAGAAAGATCAGTACCTGTGTATGTGGCCGATGGATCAATGTCAGGAGTTGGTGGAACCCCAGCTGGCCCTTCTTTCAGAGCATCCTGCATTTATTGGACGAAGCTGGTCTCCTCAGTCTCCATACCTCCGGGAGAAGCAGCATCAGCTGGCAATTCTCCTTCTTCTCGACTCCCTACAGAAGTTGAGCATGAAATAAGTTTAAGCGTTAAGAAGTATGAGAGCAATAAAAACAAATGGCTACCTTTTAAGAAGTATGAGAGCAATAAAAACAAATGGCTACCTTGTTCATCAGAAGAAGCACTACGACCAGACAGTTCCTTTAGAGCAGGAAGATGAACGCGTGGCTTAGAGACAGCTTTCTTTTGTCTCTTCGGTGGACGTGCTTCAGAACCTTCGTGACGACGTTTGGTGCGTAATTCAGTTCCGGGAGGAATCTGAGTTTGAGCCTGAGTGGAAGATTGAGATCTTTGCCTACGAGCAAGAGGCACCGTATCCTCTTCATCCTCTTCGTCTCCGCTGAGGACCTCTACCGTCATCCGGTTGGGATGAGTCATGACTACTCTCTCTTTTCTTTTTTTTGGAGCATCCTGTGGTTGGGCAGGTGCAACAGATGGGCGCACAAGTCCCCTCTCAAAGAAGGAATCGGGGAGGCCAGCTGCTTCCTCAGAACTTGAATCAGCCTCACCCGTCCCCTCAGAAGTTTCAGTTTCTTCACTATCAAACTCTTCTTCACTGTCGGTTGAGTGGGCCGATTCCTTTCCTTTTCTCGAGGATTCAGCAGTTTCTTTTCCTCGAGTCGACACCATAGCCTCACGAGTCGCTTCTGTCGCTTGCTGCGGAGCTGCCTCTTCCTCTGAGTCTGATATCCTCCTACGTCGAGTGACGATATTGGCGGCTATCAACCACTTGCAATATAAGAAGGTCATCCGTAGAGGCGCTGCTTCTAAAGGAAGATCAAATTCAGCATTTGTACAGCCGGCGATGCTCCAAAACCAAGCTCTCGCCCCGTCGATAAGTCCACCTCGAAAGCTAAGGTGACGATTCGGGTTGCCGACGTATATTTGATCATAGCCGAATTGACGAGCAAATCGACATGGAAAGTAGGGTTCAATGTGACAAACATCTCTTACCCTGAACAATAGATATCTAGGTCGAATGTTCATCAACCATAGGGTTCAATGTGACAAACATCTCTTACCCTGAACAATAGATATCTAGGTCGAATGTTCATCAACCATCTGAAGCATCCGACATCCAAGATGGTGAGATCCTGCCTTGGGTCTTCAGCATCCAATAAGGTCGTGTTGTAGGTACCGGAGAACCGAGGGAAGCAGGGGAAGAATTCCCAACACTTGTGAATTTTGAACTGCCTTGTGATGTCCGGCCCTCGATGTTTGACCCATTTACAACGCTCAAGATTCTGCAACAGAGGGAGACTGGGATCCATCGTCTCAGGAGCCTCCATCAAATCTGGCCGGTGGAGAACCAACCATGTCATCAAATATGTATAGGGTAATTCTAGCTTCGGAGCGAATATGCTGGCGGAAGCTTTCTTTTTCTCCTGTGTGAATACGGAAACTAATTGCCGTAATCCACTGTGAATAGCCGCCACCATAGCAGGAAGCAAGGATAATTTGCGACCCGTAGCCAACTGGACGGCTGGATACAACACTTCCATCGGCATAGCGTCAGATGACTGGTGGGGAACTACACATCTCTTCAGCCATAAAGCCAAATAACCAGCCAGCAGAGTAGTGGGGTGAATCGGAACACTAGTTTGCCACAGATAAGGGCAGAATTTAGTTCCGTGCGAAAACCCATCTTCTGAATGAGAAGTGTAAGATGGTGCATTTGTTTTCTCCAACAGCCGATTGATATCACCCGGGCTCAAAGGAGATAATCCACGTACCTCTTCTGATCGATCATCCAGGTTCTTAAACAGATAATCGGCGAATTGTTTTAAGCTGACCTGGGGAGATTTCTTCCTAGCTTTGGTTTCCATCTCAGCTATAGCTATATGATAATGACAAGTCAGCTCCCATAAAGTCTCATGGGTCACAGACGACTGATCTTTCATCTTATTAAGCTGATTGGTGGTTGGGAAGAACTCTTGATATGGAACATCGCCTATGGGCAAGCCAGACACCTTCATCATTTCGTGTAATGGTAACCCGAGCTCCCCATTCTTGGTGAAGAACGTATTAGTGTCAGGATTGTAGATCTCGAACAAACAGAGGAAATGACCTACACTGATTTGCAGACCATGCATGCTAGCACGGATCGGGACTTCCAACCCTAGTTCTGCTAACTCTCGCCCCCAATGGTTCAACACGTATCGGGTCATTCTGGTCCACCACCATTTGTCCCCAGAATAATGGAACCATCCGTAACATCTGAAGCTCTCGCGGGGTAATTTCTTCCTCATTGCAGCTAAACGATTCTTCACGGTGTTTGCATGTGCTGTCTTTTCATTCTGTGGAATATTATCTTGACCTAAGATGCCCGGATGAAGTCCCCGCACAGAAGCTCTTTCACTGGAACCTGGGATGGCTTCCTTCCCAATGAAACCACAATGAATACGTTCGTGGTTTTCTGTTAACCTCCAGAACATCTCACGTCTAACCGATAAGTTCATGAACTTTAACAGTGAGTGCTCTCGAGGGATAAAAGGCAAGTACAGGAATGATGAACCATCCTCATGTAACCACTGCGCAGGCTTGCAAAAAGCAATCGCCGGATCCTTTATGGAGTCACCAAATAAGAAGTCTGGTTTCCTTATACATTGGTTTGAGTCCTGCTCTGAAATTAAGGTTGCGTCCGTGATTAATCGTCGTAGGATACGACAGCTCCCTCGCTGAATCAGTTCTCTGGCTCCTTCGCTATAATCTGACTTAAATTGGGGAGCAGATTCAACACATGTATAAAGGAGATATGCGTTACTATGCGCGGACATTATAACGGCATATCGAAACCTTTCAACACACGTGGGATGATATGAAATCACCCCTGTGTATTATGAAGTGTGTTTTGTCCAAGCAAAACAAACACTTTTAAGCGTTGATCCCCTCAAAGGAGGATACCGGCTCTTCTCGAGGGTATCTTAAAGGATACAAACGAGGATCTGCATGCAAATACAGGTACATATATATGAAATTGACGAAATACGGTATCTAAATTCGTGAAAGGGTGAAAGAAATGTACCCCCATGCGAAGCGGCAGAAGGGGCATCTCCTTCGGGGGATTGAACAGTCGGACGACCTCGGGAACCTCTGGATCGATGCGGCGACATGACAAAGATGTGATCTACAGTAAAACCCAACAGGAAAATTAGGGTTTTGAACGTGAAATTGAATAAGATAGCACAAAATCTCGCTGAAACAGTGCATGCATGAGGGAAAATTGAAGAAAATCAAAATTGTGAGAGAAGAAAAGGAGAACAGACCTCCAAACTCCAAATGAAATTCCTCCAAACAGAGCTCTACCCAAATCAGAAACAAAGAGGAGAAGAGAAGGCAGAGAACTGGTCGAAAATCACCCAAAATCGCTGAAGAAATTGCCTAAAGATCGCAAAAAAATCGACGTGAAAAGCCTCTGAAAAACCCTAAGTCGGGGTTTTATAACCCCGACTTGCCGAAGCGAGACAGACTTCACTGTCTCGCAACGTGAGACAGTAAATACTGTCTCGCGCAGCGAGACAACATATACTGTCTCGCACCGCGAGATAGCATATACTGTCTCGCACCGCGAGACAGTATGAGCTGTCTCATATTATGAAATGGCAACGATCATTTTGATGTGCTGTTTCGACACACATGAGTACTCCAAGAGGTACACGAGTATAAACTGTTTCCCTACCCTCAACAGGAAGTTTCTGGAGAATATTACTCGTGATATTCTTAAGGATAACTTGACGAACTCTCGAAAGACAAACAAACATCAATCTGGAAATACCAGCTTCAATTCAAGATCTCAACAACGGTCGAGCGATAAACGCAGTGCCGGAGAAGTATTAGCTATTCTACAAAGAACAGAATAGACTAATGGATGAAGAGATCAAGAGCCGAAGCTATTTTACAGATTCTTCAATACGATCTACTCAACCAAGCATTGAAGGGATCGTAAGCAAAATCTATCTTATCCAAAGTATCCCAGACTCTTCTATAAAAGAATACGTCTGGAATACTTTGGAGGGGGTATCTGTAGGCGTTAAAAATACTAATAGATATCCAAACATAGAGAAGATCATCAAAAATCACCTCATACTATCTTAAGAGAAAAATCAAGACAGATATGAACTGTCTCGCCAGCGAGACAGTATTTGCTGTCTCGCAGCGAGACAGTGTATGCTGTCTCGCCAGTGAGACAGTGTTTGCTGTCTCGCCAGCGAGGCAGTGTAAATGCTGTTCCTCGCCAGCGAGACAGGTTTGATTGTTCTCGCCAAGCGAGACGTATTTGATGTCTCCGCCAGCGAGACCGTGTTTGCTGTCCTCGGCAAGCGAGACAGTGTTGAAAACGATGCAAAAGAGCCACTTAAATAACTCCCACCAGTGTCCATTACAGCTTGGGGCCAGGCGGATTGGAAAGAACATCGTGGGCGAAAATCACAGTGTATAACTACTAAAATAACGAGTTTGAAACGTGGAAGGCAAGTTACAACACGAAAACTACAGGAATTATTTCTTTTTCCGAGACACATTTACTGTTCGGCGGCCGAGACAGCAAACACTGTCCCCCCCGCGGAGACAGTAAACACTGTCTCGCGGCCTTAACGTGTTATGTTGTTGAGTTTTGTGCAGTTATGTCCCCTGAGGCTATAAATACCCCCCTAGGGTCATTTCTGACGAGGATGGAGCATATTTTCGAGCAATTCAGAGCAGAGAGAGCAGACTTGAGTTCTTGGTGTGATTCCCTTGAAATTAAGTTTTGACTTGATTTTAAGAAGAACGACTATCTTACTTTGATAAGATATCATTTCAAGTTCTCACTTCGATAAACGAAGTCAGAATCAGTAAACCCCTTTACGATCTATGATTCGGCGGTCCACGAACCAAAGCGTTCCCGGCACAGGCAAAGTCCCACAAAAAACAAGAATCGATAGACGATTTTTGTGTTATTTTTTTAAAAGTTGTAATTTTTGCTTTGTTGTGTAGAAAAGGTCTTATAAAAAGACTATTTCTTTGAATTTGTTGTAATCAAACGAAGATATAATGAATTCCTCAACAGAACCAACTTTTGCTGAAAACAGTGGCCGACGAGCGCGGCAGGCGGTGAACGACGGGTGAGGTGGCTGGCGTCCGACTGACGGACGGGCGGCCGGCTGACGGACGGGCGGGCCGGCGACGGCCAGGAAGCGACGACGGTGGTGACGACGGGTGACCGACGGCCGGCCAACAGGCCAGGCGCGGCGGTGACGGACGACGGAGGGTGTGGCCCGCGAGGTGGCGGTGGTGGTCGGACGGCGGCGGTGGTGGTCGGACGGCGGCGGTGGCCGCGGTGGTGGGCGGGTGGCGGGCCGGCAGCGCGGGCCGAGCGGTGCTGAGGCGGCTCAGATGAAAAAACGGAAATTGCTTAAAATATCTTTTTGGTGTTTTGAGAAAAATATTTAATTTTTAGATTTTGTAAAGGGACAAGTCAAAAAAACGTCTCGGTTGCCAAACACGTTTCTTTGTTTTTGTTGAAAATAAAACAAAAACGATAAAAATACCATGGTTGCCAAACGCTACCTAAGTAATTAGGATGTATTTGTCAACCATTGCCAAAATGCAGACAAAACTAACTAATATTCCTATCTACCTTGGGGAGGTTTAATTACCCTCCTTAGGGTACTTTTTCATTTATTTTTCAGTCATTTGAAAACTATAATTTTGCGTGATACAAATACAATGGGTAAATACCCATATTGGTATTTTAATTCCACCCCAATTTT